GCGGTCAGCCTCTTTGCCGCTCGTCTGTTTTTGCGTTAACTTACAGCCGCAACTTCTGACAGTGAGCCCTTGTGACGAAGGCGAACGGGTAAGTTCAAACAGCTAGTGAACGAATTAAACCGTAGGAGCTTGTTTTCTTTTCTTTCTTTCGCTCATTTTTCTTTCACCTCTTAAATTAGATTTTTTTTTTTTTCAAAGACGCGATTTCTAGAGTGGTATCTGGCCTTTTATAGATATTAGCTGCTGGTTGCCATACGTTATTTTAATCAAAACTTACAACAGGTAAATGCTCTTCTATAAATAAATAATGCGAGGTCGTAGTCTCAAGAAAATATTCGCTTAACTCCCGTAGTTTGTCGTCAGGATTCTTAACACTCCAAGTCGCCCTTGCTCCAGAGATAACCTCTGATGCAGAACTCACACACTAACGCCCAAACATAACCTTTGCTTCGGCTACATTGCGTCGAATGACGTACGGTTCTGACGCTGGCTATCTGTATGTTTATGATCAGCGTCTCGGAGCCTTGGGGATTATTTCGAGAAGGTTCAAGGCGGTATTGCTTAACTTCTTTCGAGGTCTTGAAACTGATCGAAGTAGTTTCCACGGCTTTTACTCACTAATCATAAAATACACGATAGTTGCCGTGTACGGTAAGTCATGTCTTATTTTTTATGATTAACTGTATACTTAGTGAGTAAGGATTATATACAACACATTTCATACTGTAACCCTGGCTGCTGTGCGTCGTTTCTCTTTTATCTGCCCTTGCATCTTTCCATAATCTCAACGTAGATAAACACCGAGGCTTTTTGGAAGACTAAACTGCATGTACACTTGAATGTTGATTAACATTAATCGATCGTTATAGATATAGATTCACCAGATCATCTACCTTCGACATAGTAAATCTCCTGTTACTGATTAATATTCAAATATCACAGATATCATATCACAGTGTAAGATATATTCACTTGAATAAGCTTCTTATCACCATGCCCTTAGTCATCGTAAAGTCAGATAGAAACTTGAGTTCATAATGCACTCTGCTTCAACTAAAAATAAATGCAACTCTGATTTGTTCCTTCACGCGCGTTGCTTCATCTCCATTGCTTCGCACTATTGCTGCTCCATCAACCAGTGGATTTCGCTGGACCATTTCTCAGTCCCCTTTTCTCTCACTTCCTCCCCTTTAATCTGCAATAAAAAAAAGCACACTGCCGAATTGGGCTGTCTTTTCAGAAAGGAAATTCTATCCTAGCCTCCCATTACTCCCTCATTCGTTATCCAGTTGGTCCCGAAGTCATTGGTTATCGACGATCTTACCGGATTACGTCATTCCCAGTCAATTTGATGAGCCAGACCTGCCCTTAGTAGCCCCATTTGCTCGGCTCATAACCCTCCCTTGCCTCCGCTAGCATATCCTTCGCATTCTTTAAAAATCCCTAAAGACACCTCTCTAACCCCCACCCCCTTAGCACCCCCCCCAAAAAAATAATAATAATAAAAAAAAATAAAGACAAAAAAAGCAGTAGTGTACATATTAAAAAAAAAACACTTCATCTTCCTTAAAACTATCACCCATGCACCGCGCTCCCCTCCCTCACACTTGACTCAACCGTCCACCAACGCCTCCGCCCACTTGCAGCCACTCCACCCGTCTCTTGGCCGCCACCACCCTCCGGAATGTCCTCGGTACGAAGAACTTGGCGGAAATCTTGAGCGAGCGCGAGTCCATCTCCCACAACATGCAGAGCTCCCTAGACGAAGCCACAGATCCCTGGGGTGTCAAAGTAGAGCGAGTTGAAATGTAAGTTTCCCGCGCCTTGTCTGTAAGTCATTAGATTTATTCATTGATTTTTTTTTTGATTTTTTTATTAAGTATATTTAGCGTTTTATTTATTGAGATGTTTAATTATCCATGTTATTCCTCATTATGTTAATGATAATCGCTTATATTATTTTTATTGCGTTTTTTTTTAGAGTTGGGAATTCTTGCTTCTGTATTGTTTCTCCAACATTATTTCTGTGATAAGTGATTTTATGTGTATTTTTAGGAATATTTTTCTAACAAATATATGTACAGTATGTCAATATCAAACATTATTTAATTTGTTGTTTACTTCACTTTACGATTATGTATGATAATACATAATGTAATTTTTGACAAAGTATTTAGGGATGAAGATGTAGCAGAAGCATATATAATATATACGTGAATTGAATCGCGACGTTGGACCATTTACCATAGCTTTTATAAAATTTGGGTATCAGCTTTCAGGAGTTAGTGATCCAGTTTTAGTTGATGAGTTAGTAGACCATTTTGTAAGTGTGTGTGTGTGTGCGTGTGTGTTTGCGCGTGTGCTTGCGCGCAACGCGTCGATGCCTCCACATTTCACAATACTAAATTCTTATTAATCTTACAGCAAGGATGTCCGCTTGCCCGTGCAACTGCAACGTGCCATGGCTGCAGAAGCCGAGGCAGCACGAGAAGCCCGTGCCAAGGTGATTGCGGCCGAGGGAGAGCAGCGTGCTTCCAGGGCCCTCAAGGAGGCTGCAGAGGTTATCAACGAGTCCCCAGCTGCCCTCCAGGTAAGCGCTTTTCGCCCTGCCTCGCTCAGTCAGTTACTAATGAACAACAGAAACTTCGAAAATGCTCTGCCAGGTCGAATTCCATTGAGAAAACCGTTAATGGATTCGACTCAAGTTCTCAGTTCTTTGAAAGATAGCCTTCTTGTTTATGGTACTTATATATATTAAATATATATATATGTATATGTTCAAGTTTATGCAGTTTTTGTATACATGTGTACATAATTGGTGAAAAGTTTTAGAAAGGTATCTAACTAATATTGTCATTTGCTGAGATTTGGAGGAAAATCTCCAAGGGATGATTATTAATGTTCTGGTAACCTAAATACACATTTTAGAAACCTGTGATCTTGTATCACCCTAGAAACCTTTTGTACATTGTCATTATATCAAGACTAAATATAGAACTTCAATGGGACATTTGCAAAAAGGTAAATCCATAGTTGAAAATAACAGTAATGTTAAACAAAGATAATTAATCCTCCATTAACAATTAGGTTTACTGATATGAATGTCTAAGTAGACCCATTATCCTTGTGGTTAAATTGTGAATTGACATTTACTGACCCAGTTTGGCTATGGTACTTACTATGTTTTTTTGTCATTCGTTTGGTTAACCAATTTATCAGACTTGTATATTGTAATGTGTTGTGGTGTGTGTCTCTTATGTTCATGTTTTTTTTATTGTCAGAAATTTGATGTTGGTGTAGTGAAATGTAAAAAGATTGTGATTAAATCTTTTGCAGGATTTTGTATATTGTTCACTGTTTTGTGTGATAATGCACAGTGTTCAGACACATTGGGTAACCAAGTAGTAGATTTCTTCCAATATAGAAAATGGTTTAATCACAGATATTTCAAATCCATCCCTGAAATCTAATAAGTTTCTTTTTTTCACACAAACGAGATACTGTATCTATATCTACATTCAAAAGTGAATACAGCTTTATTGATATGAATATTGAAATTAAAATTTAAATCATAGTTGATCTCCTTTTTAGTTGTTCCAACCTAAATTGCACAGGGTTAGGAGTTATCTTATACTTTTGTAACATCCAGATAAAAAAATATACTCATCCCAAAATATGTATATTGAATATTTTCAAGATCAAGAATTATATATCCCAACTCTGAGTAAGTATTTCCACACTAGTGCTTCATTTTTAACAAAGATATTTGAGAATGTTCTACTTCAGCTCATTAATCTGACATATAAATGAACATCACATGATGGACAGAACACACTGTACATATCAAATAGTTATTCATATTCAAATAAATATTACAATTATTATTCCAGTAAAATTATAGTGCAGTGTCACTGAATTTTACAAACTGCAGTTATCTTGTTTGTGTGTTATACTCTTATAAAGCAGCTTCTAATTTCTTTGCCATTTGAAACATTTTTATTTTATGATCATTAGTACAAAACCGTAAAATAAATACCCCAGTTACTATGTTTAGACTACTGTCACTTACCAGTGCAGGGAAGCAAAGATTATTTTGCTTGTCATTTATTTTGTGTTGTGTATTGTAGAGAATAATTTTGTACATATCCAATAAATTGTGACATCTGTAGTTTACCAAGCAAGAGAGACCATTAGTATTGGATTATATTTTGCTTGTGTTCATCTTTTAGGCAATTTTATGAATAGCAAAGCTTTTAACCTCCATTAGTTATTGATTAATGTAATCTTGCTTGTAAGAATCTTTCTAGGAGCACATGTTAAGCTTCCCCCCCCCCTTTAAAAGTTCCCCCATGATTTCCCCCTTTTTTTGTTTGTTTGGCTTACAAAGAATTTGTTCTGTATGGTATTCTGTCACTTGTCACACAGCAACCAACCATAATATAATCTAAAAATCTTAAATGATACATCTACATTATGAAAAGAAAATATGAAGAATGGTATTAATGATAACAATCATTGAATCATGATATGGATAACAGGCATCAAATGGAGTCAAATTTTGGTCACATTAAGGAAAGGCAGGTGTGGGCAATATTTATTTTATATTTTTCATATTAACAGATTGAATATGAAGTGAGTGCCCATATTTCTACATCATGCATAAGTCACACAATAGGCAGTATCTAATATTTTTGATGATAAGAAAGCATACCAAGAACAATGACATTATATGACATGATTATCCATAATCTGAATTTTTCATGGCTTGATGAATATTGTCAGCATGTATATGTATTAAACTTGTTCTTATTGATGTATTGGTTCAAGTTATAAATGCCTGGTTACTTCTAATTATTTCAGTATGTCAAATGAAAAGAAAAACCTTGTTTGACCCTTTATATTGATGTTATAAATAATACATTTTGTTATTTGAAGAAGTACACACCGTAGATATAGGCATTTCCTAAGTGTCTTATCTTTTTGTAACTGGGTAGCACTAG